CATATTCGTGAATAGTATTTACAAACATTTCAACCTAAATTAATAGAATTAATGCACAAAAAATATAATAAATTCCTGAAGAAAGAAAGATTAAATAAAGGATTCTTTATATGGTTAAAAGAAGTATGTGTTCAATATAATATTACTATTCCCTCATTTGACAATATTCAAACAATAGAAGAAAAAACTTATATCAGTACGGATGAGTAAATATATAGGAGCAAGTTTTATTGGCTCAGAATTGATGTGTTTCTCATCGATAGTAATATCCATGAGATAGGCCCTTTCTATGTATGGTGATTTGGGTATATTGGTTTGTTGAGCAGACTTGGTCTGGGCCGGAGAATATATGGGTTTTGAAGCCGTAGCCTCAGGGTATGTAATTTGATGAATGGGTGATTGTGAAGGTGACTTTATTGCCAAAGGCAATGGTTCCCCTTCGTATGGTATTATATTTTTCATGGGCTGTTTGTCTCGGCGAGAATTGCCTCGAGAACCCATATGAGGTGAAGGTGAAAATGATATATAAGTATTATTCTTATTTTCTTCGAACAATTGTAGAGCAAGGGATAAGGGTGATTCGTCGTTGGCGTCAGTGTTGCCCCCCTGCAAAAATTCACGGGTGAGAAAATCAGGTAAAGAATTGGATGACCAGGGAAGGTGTTCGATGGAAAAGTCAAAGGCGGACAAGATAGCCTGCCATCGAGCAAATATTTGTTTAGAAACCAAATTTTGAACATCTTTTTGCAAGATATTAAAATGTATTGGAATATTCTGAATGTTGAAGATATTCCGGTTTCATTTATAGTTAAAGGATATAGTAAGGTAAGAAATGGTACTCCAAGAATTATTGCTTGGCTTAATCCTGCAATTGTTCGAAGAAAATAAGAATAATACTTATATATCATTTTCACCTTCACCTCATATGGGTTCTCGAGGCAATTCTCGTCGAGACAAAAAGCCCATGAAAAATATAATACCATACGAAGGGAAACCATCGCCTTTGGCAATAAGGTCATCTTCACAATCACCCATTCATCAAATTACATACCCTGAGGCTACGGCTTCAAAACCCATATATTCTCCGGCCCAGACCAAGTCTGCTCAATAAACCAATATACCCAAATCACCATACATAGAAAGGGCCTATCTCATGGATATTACTATCGATGAGAAACACATCAATTCTGAGCCAATAAAACTTGCTCCTATATATTTACTCAACCATTTGAACCCTTCTAATGAGGTTAAGACCAGAGAATATTTTGAGGCCATTCTAATGGAAACGGGATCCATTTCCATTGTCCACTACTACCAACAAAATACTAGGATCATTGCATACTCTAAGGTCCAAATCAAAAATATACTTTCTTATGAAGAGTGGGGTTGCAATCCCACGCACGGAAAGAAATTACATAACCCAGACTTTTCATACAAATATTATAAGTATGCCGAATACATAGAGGCATGGCACAAGTTTTTCTATTATCAAAACCCCAATAATACACACAGCTGGTATATCCAGTTTAGACTTCCTATTTTCGAAAGATTGCCCACCTGGTTCAAAAATTGGTTTTTTGTGTGGGGTTCAACTTCTCAAATTTTACCTCCTGCTTTCAAAAAAGTGCAGGACCAATTCCAAGAATATAATCAGGCTGACCAATCCATTGATATCCATTTGTATTTCATATCCCTATACCAAATCCCTTGGATAATGGAATGGGATTATTCAATATCCCCTGATACTACTGGAGATTATTCTTATATCCCCAGGCTTGGAAAAACCATATCTGTCAAGTGGTGGGACATTTTCAATATGGACCCCACATCACTTACACCCAAAAGAATACCGCCAAAGACTCCTGAAAATCAACCAAGCCAGCATACAGCCAATACATCATTTGATTTTCCAACATATCTCAGAAACATGCTTCAGTCCAACCTTAATGCCTTTATAAATGGTATAAAGATGTATTTTTCTCAATATTATTAATAAGAGAAGATTGTCAGCTAGACCACTGGAAAGAGAAATTTATAGCTGGTCTACCATATTTATTTGCTGAGAAAGTCAAGGAAAGACTAAGGAAAAAACATAATGAAATTATTGTTTATTCATCATATACACTCGGAGAATTCTCCACAGAAATATGTGCTGAGGGGTTAGCCTTATGCACAGATATAAAGTTAAAAAGACAATTAGATAAACAAAAAATCACTAAGAGAAAAGAACTTGGTGATTTCTGTGAACAGTTTGGTTATTACCTTGATAAGAAAAATATGCCTGACAATTTATACAAGAAAAAAAATATATATATATAAAAAAAATATAAATCCAAAAATAAAGATAAAGATAAGAAATATTATAAAAAGACTAAAAGAAAATTAATCAATAAATTTTCTCCCAATACAAAGAAAAAGAGAAAATTACCAGTTTGTTATAAGTATGGTAAAGTAGGACATTATAAGCATCAATGTAAATTAAAGAAGAAAATAGAATCATTAAATTTAGATGACACAATAAAATTAAAATTATATAATATATTCAATTATGATTCTTCATCCTCTACTTCCTCTGATTCTCATATAGATCAAATCCAAGATGATGATCTCATGTGGACAGAATCTTCTGATTCCACTAATTATTCAAATACAGAATCATCCAGCTCAAAGGATGATGATTGTAGTTTTCCAATATCAACACATAATGTTTACACACTCACTCAAGAAGACAATTTCATCTTAGACATTATTGACAAAATTATTGATCCAAA